GGATTTAATAAAAAGATCGTAAATAAAGCAGATTATTATTCATTCAAAATATTTCTCCTTTTCTGATTGGCTATAAAATCCCACGCATAACCAGCTACTCTCCACCCACCCTCAGAGACCCAGGGTCAGTCAGTCGGGTCGGGAGAAAAGGAGGGAAGAAAGTTTTCAAGTACGGGCGAAAGAGCCCCTGGGTACCTACTCTTACCTAACTATTTTCAAAAATTCAAGCGGATGCCGGCTCCTGATTGGGCACAAAAAATGCTTTGTATTATTGTGCCCAATCGGCGAACACTTTCCCCTAAGTTCTTTTCCCTAGTTCGTACACGACGGCTATTGTCTCGCCACACGTGCCCGGTTCGTTCACAAAGCTTATGCGTGCAAGGGAAACTTTCATTTCTACTTTCCTAACTAGAAGCGAAGGAACTACCGAGGAGTCGAAAAACGTTTGGGATGCTATCAGCAGGAGCAATTCAATTTGCCCCGAGAATATTCTGTTTTTGATGGATCACAATCTATCGTAAATAATAGGAAGTTAAGGTGACTCGACCCAGTTTTTTGGGTGGGGTACCATCCTACTTTGAAGCTCTCTGGTATCCCCACCTTTACTTTTATCGTAAGTCTAACACATAGAATGGATAACATATAGATCAATCTACAATTTAACATAAAAATTTTGGCGATCGGAGTGAATGTCACGTGGTTATAATGCCACGCCCCTTTGAGGTCTGAGTCGTACCAGATTATTGGACAGATAACCGAGAAAACCTGAGTGCGAGGTTGAGTTGTTTTGGTAGTGAGTACAAAATGCCAAAACATTTTGATAACTCTTTTGACGAGGAAGAAATTATCAAACTATTGGCTTAAAACATAGCAAAAACACCAAGATGACAATTCGACGACATCTGCTATTTGAAGAATATTTTCGGTATTGAACTGCCCGTTATCTCCTAAACTTGCCGATAAACAGGCAATTGAAGATGAACTTAACATCGATGGAGGTAAGCATTGTTTTTAACCTAGGAATTATTTAGAATGAAAATAGTTATTGAATTCGAGCTTTCGTATCATTTGAAGAATTATTGAAATCTCGCCGAGGGTGTTATCCGCCGAGGCCGATTAGCTGATACACAGCCACAGCCTTATCCAGTAATTGTTAAATATGGCAGTTGAGAAACAAATCATGTATTACAAATTCAATTGACTTGACCTATATAAATACAGATGCACTGACAGAGACATTTAAACGCTATGAAATCAAACACACTTGCTTCTATTATACAACTGTTAATTTCGCCCTATCGAATCCATTCCATGAAGGGAAATGCTATGCACTACTCCTGGATACAAAACCCTTTATTGGCCCCCTGAAGCCTTTAGTTTGGGCATAGTTAATTGAGTGGAATGGTTATAAAACCCGTCAGACTCCTTTGTTATATGTTTTTGTGGACCTGAAAGTGCACAACGTTCAAAGGAATTCCTATCATTTTGATTGTATTGACCAATAAAAATGTTGCATTAATTTATTCCGTAACAATTTGCCAACAGAAAATAAAGGATTGTGCACTTTCAGGGTGCTTCCAACATAAACTGCAGCACTGTTGTTTTTATCATTGATGTTTGCCGCTTTTCATAACCAGTCTCCTCTAATAACTATGGTTTGGGAAGACAAAACCACTGAATACAGATCTTTCTCTGTATGTCTTGGTATAGCCATTGATGAAAGACTCTCCTGGGCCAACCATGTAAAATCGGTCTCTACCTCATACAGCTCTAAAGTTAAAATGTTAAGACGCATAAGCTTTTTACCAAAAGCCACACTAGAAACTATTTATTTCAAAACAGTAATCCCAAGCGCACTATATGGTATGGTTGTGTGGGGCTCTTGCTCAGATTATTTGATGTATAACTAATCCACCTCAGAGCAGCAAGACTTATCCACAAACTACTAAGAGACATGGAAGACGAAACAGTACTCATAAATGCAAGTTGGATGCCATTAAATATTTTTATTGCTCTCGTATTCTAAATATAACGCATAGAGCTTTTTATGATTTAGAGTAAGGTGATATAAATAGTTTAGTTGTTAAGAACGCTTCTTCTTATAGTGGCCAAGAACCGGACAGGGTAGTCGTTCATTTAAACACAGAGCTGCAATTACCTGGAACTCTTACCTGACACCATCAAACAGCTTGAAAACCCTCACTCTTTTAAAAGAAAGTTAAAATCGATCACGACCTACGTTAGGGACATCAGTTTTCAAAAGGAATGCTCAGTAAATTATAATAAGAACCCTGAATTTACATATTTTTAAATTATTTGATTAGTCTTTTTATCTTAAATAATTGTATTGTAAATCTTTGTTCCCTTATCTAGACTTAGTAGTAGTAAGCCCACATCAGTTGACATTTGCTTATTACAAACCTAATTATCAAATAAATGTATGTATGAATGTATGTATTTATGTATGTATGTATGTATGTATGTATGTATGTATGTATGT